GCCTATTTCAAAAAGGATGTCACTTTCCTTCTTTTTTCGGTAATTATTTAATTTTAATTTTTTCTCGTTGACATGTTTAAGACTATAAGATTAAAAAAGTGTTCCCTACTTTCTTAAACATGGAAAACGGAAGAATATATAGGGTGGCTTTTCATTATAGGCAGTCAAGCATTCTCCTCGTTAAGATTATTTTAAGTTTTAATCACTAGATAACAATCATTGTGTGTTGAATTGGTCAAATAAATATTTTCCAGCAGAACCTAACTTTTATTATTATATTCATCCACGTTCTAGTACCACATTTTCCCTCAACTTTCCTTTTTTTTTAATTTCCATATACTTTCACTATTTATTGACAATTATATTAAATAGTAATAATTATGCATGTTGGGATCAAAACAATGACATGTCGCTAAAACAAGGGGAAAAAACTTTATAGTAAAAGCTACTCTAATACATCTTTTTAAATCAATTTTTTTTATTTGGACAAGGTTTCCTACTTTTGCTAACACGTCAATTTCATTGCCTTTTTATTCCTCATCAAGACGTGTTAATTATTCTCTTAAGCTTTGTAAAAAAATATTCTTGTGTCGAAAGGTTAGAAAATTAAAAGGAAAATAATTATCCTTTTAAATCTCTCTTATTCTTATAAAAAAATTGATGTGATACATCTCTTAAGAAAATTTTATTATAGGTGTATTGTATTTATTAGGGGTAATTAATTAAATCTAAAAAATATAAAGGATTTTTTTTTATTGTTGATGACATATTTTATGAAATTAATTGAGGTACATGAACGTTGATCCGAAATAACAATTATAAAAAATATATATAACGGAAATAAAGAAATGTAGATTAGCAGCCGCCCACGCTCTTTTTCTTTCCGACAGCCGCCCACGCGCAATCTTCTATCTATCGTTTGTGTCTTATACCTATAATATATTCTCTTTATGCATCATATCTATACGCAGATATCTTGAGTTTAATTTTTGATTAGGTGAATAAACTTTTATTCTTCGTCAAAGAATTAAGTTCATTATATATTTTATTTCCGTATTAAAGATTATAGTCTAAATTAGAAATTATGTAAATATCCAGAATAAGACGAAAGTAGTTTTGATGGATGATAAGACGCAAGACATATGAATAGGAAATGTACGAATTCTCAAATATAAATGTGTAAGAGATTGGTTATTAATTTGTTCAGAAAAAAGGTAGATAGACTAAAGAAGTATTAGGGAGAGGTGATTATTAGTCATTGATACGACACAGTTTCAGCTTATTGAAGATTTGATTTTAAATAGGAAGTTATGAAAGACTTGTATTGGATAATCATCCATATACTAATAGTCATAGTATTGCTCATGTAGTTTCTTGTCATTCAATTTCTATTACTATGTATTATTTTTAGTACTTCAGTTATCGCATTATAATTATTATTTAGTGAACAATTAAAAGTGAATTTTATTACTTTTATATTAATGAAATAAATGGGGACCAATATTTAAATGAAGTCATTCTAGTTTGCTGACTTCAAATAGCTTCCTCTAATATCCATTCTTCTAATTATTCTAAAAATATTAGTAAAATGACAGCTACTCTTTAGAATAACATTTATAGCAAGTAATTGATTTCCAACATTTAAAGTGTCTTTTAAAAAAAGTTTGTGGTCCTTCCCAATTGCTTCACAACTGCAATGGAATTTAAATCAGTGTGTTAGGCCCAAAAAAAAAAATAGTGTGAATACTTTTTTCTTTTTAATTTTTTTTTTACCTTAAAATTAATTTTTATTTTCTTTGAAAGCTTAAATGTTGTAAAGTTCCAACTTTCAAAATAGTTTCTCCATTATCAATTGTGGTATTATGATCACCAAGTACTTATTCATTCTTAATCAAAGGTTTTGAATTCGAGTCTCCTTAAATACGACATCGTCTTTGTTAGTAAGCGTTTTATCTCCTAATATAAAACTTTTCATATCTAATATGGATAACGGACATCGGATGAGAAATCAAGAAAAATAGTAATATTGATGAATAAGTCATATAAATATAAATTAGATAGTAAAAAGTAATAATAAAATATAGATATAAATAAATAAAAACGGAGAGATATTATTAATTAATAATAATAAAATAAAACAATAAAATGACGTAAAATTTGGTGGACGGCAAAATGAAAAGGGGCCCACCCACACAAAAGCGGCAGCCGCGTTTTCTCTTCACTTCTCATGTCCGTCTCCACATGTGGCCCCTTTTCCTGTCTGCTACTCTCCGCAGCGAATCCCTTAGGTACGGAGTCGTTATAATGGTTTTAAATCTAGAAATTTTGAAAATTGACATGAGGGGTTGTTGAAATAGTAAATGTTTTTTACTTTATTTTATTTTTTTAGGAAGAAAGCAAAGAGAATTTTAAAAAGGTGAGACCATCTCCAATCCACCTCTATTTTACTCTCCATACTTTATATTTGGAAAGTAAAATAGAGAATGGACACTCCAATCCACCTCCAAACCACCCTCTATTCTTCGAATTTAGAGAGTTGAATAGTAGTTCTCCAAATTTGGAGAATTACTATTTACACTCTCTATTTCACTTTTTCATTATTTATTATTATTTCTATTATTTTCTAATTAACATATTATTTTACATATAATTCTATTAATTAAATATACTATTTTAATTTCAAATTAATAGTATTTTGATTTTTTTTTCTAATTTTCATGAATAATAAAATTTTATTTTATTATTAATTTTCATCATAAAGAATACGCAAAATTAAAATGGCAAGATGAAAAAATTTAATTTATAAATACAATACATGATATGATAATTTAAATACATGATAACAATACAATACATAACATAATAATTTAAATACAAGATAACAATACAATATAGTAATACATAACATAATAATTTAAATACAAGATAAAATACAATACATAACATAATAATTAATTGATCACAACAATAATTTAAAAATCCGGTAGGTCGTTTTCAGATTTAGCATTATTCGAAAAAAATTAGGATATGATTCCGAGAATTGTTGCGATTGTGGTTATGACTACAGTTGTGATGGTATACGATATGAGTTATTATTTAGCTGATGGTATATATCCTAAATGGTCTACAATTGTTCAAACTATTCGTGATCCTCATTCCCAACAAAAGAAATATTTCGCGATGAAACAAGAATTGTGCCGAAAAGATGTTGAAGTGTCACGTTTTGCAATTATTGCAGGACCGTCACGTTTTTGGAGAAAGGAAGTGTTACATGATATAATGATTATGTATTATACTGCACAACATGATAATTGAGAATGAACATGATCTCAATGCACCAATTCAAGATGTCGTAGAGGCTCCAACTCCAACTATAGAAATGGTGATAGATGAAAATCTCTGGTTTGAACAATTTTTAGCTAGACATAAAAAAATTAAGGACAAAAATGTTCATTTTGAACTCCGTAATGCATTAATAAAGCATTTATGCGAGCAACGTAATAATTTTAAAAATTGAGTGTTTATATAATTGTATGTCACTTTTATTTGAATTTATCCCCTAATTTATGTATTATATTATATTTTCTTGCAATTTATGTTACTTAAAAATTTAGAATAAAAAATAATTTTATATCACATTAAAAATTATAAAAGTAATTATTTGGAAAAAAAAGAAATAAAGGATTTATATTTTGAAATAAGAAAATAAGAATGAAATAGAAATAATAATATAATATTGAGGAGAGATAAAAAGATTCCTTTTTAGAGAGTAAAATAGAGAATTGGGTTGGAGTTGGTTGTCTGAAAAAATAGAGAACTCTATATTTGAAGAATAAAATAGAGGATTGGGTTGGAGATGTCCGGAAAGACTCAAATATGTCATTGAATTTTCAGAAAAGACTTATTTATGTCATCCGTTAAAAGTTTAGCTCATCTATGTCATTATCGTTTAAGAAAAGACTCATTCATGCCATTATATTTTAACAGTGATTTTGCAAAACCATTTTTTACACGTGGCTAATTATAATTCGGCCACGTCATTAATTGTTTTTATAAAAAAAAATCAAAATTCTGAACAATAATTGGCCATGTGTAAAAAATGGTTTTGTAAAATTATTGTTAAAAAAAATGGCATGAATGAGCTTTTTCTTAAATGTTAATGACATAAATGAGCCAAACTTTTAAATGATGACATAAATGAGACTTCTCTAAAAGTTCAGTGACATATTTGAGCTTTTTCTCTTTTAAAAAAGAGAAAAATTTAGCTATGTTTTTGGTATAATATATCGTTTAATTCGATCTTATTTTATATATGATAATTTGTGTCCTATGTTTATTATGTAACACAGAGGGCTCATATTTAAATTTGTCATGTTTAATTTCTCTTTACACACACATGACTAATTAATGTTCTTGGGTACAGTGGCTTAAATACTGCTCTAATTACGGCTAAGGGATCTGTTTTTGATCTGATTCTCATTAATTAACGTTGTTTTTAAAGCTTTAATTACAGTGTGTGCTTACTCGAAAAGAGATTCTTACCACTATTTATGTCGGGGATCCACCAACAGACAGCTAGCATTACACTATAATTCCAAATTTGTCCTTATATCGTTTGGTAAAATACTCATATTAATTATTAATATTTTCTTAGTTAAATAGTGATAAATAAAAACGAACGAACGAACTGTTACGTAATACATATCCGTATACGTAATACATTCACAGCTGAAAGTACGTATTTGTTACGTTAGCTGAAAATGAAAAAGACAAACAACATCCACGTGGCACAACCTCCATTATTACTCAAAATTAAACTCTCTGTATCTGCCATATCCGTACACTCTAAATGGACCACACGTGCCACACGTGTACCGCAAATCTCTCTTAGCGGTTCTCACTCGCCGCCGCCTGCTCCTCACATTCCCACCGATCAATAAACACAAAAATTCGTTTACTATCCGAACAACTCTTTCTCATAATGATTTAGTAGAACGAAATAGAGAATATAATATTATTTTTCAGCTGAAAAAACCGGCAACAATGTATATAACAAATATTATAGGATGATCTAAATGAAACAACAGGTTTGCAAAATCAATAGATTTGTTTCTTCTGTTGCAAAAAAAGGTAAAAGTAGATCAGCCTTGTTGATATTGACATCGGCGGTGATAAATTGTCGCTGGCGGCGACGGCAGCAGCAACGGCGATGGCTCTTCAGTTTTCTATCATCTATCTAATTCTATATACTATTTCTTTTTTTTTCCCTTTTCTGTTTAAATAAAAACATTAAAAAGGAAATTGATATAAATAAAAATGTTTAGCAAAATATCTCCGATCGTCTTCTCCGGTGATGTCACATATTTTCCGGTGGAGGAAAGTTGAGGTCCAGATTTAGACCGGCGATGGTTGGTTTCACGTCAACACGCATAAAATCAATCACCGTTGATGTATCGGAGTCACCACCACCGAGGAAATCCACCGTCTTCTTCCGATTTGTTTCTAAATTTATAACTCCGGCGCGTGCAAGTGCATCTAAATAGTACATATGATTCACCGCCGGAACAGCACCGGTAAAACCTCCACCAGAGATCGGAAATCTAACAGTATTATGGTTAAACCCGCCGATTGATCCACAAAGTCTTAGATCTAACGGCGATGATGAATCAACCATAACCGGACTCGACGATTCAACAGTACTAGTCTGACTGGGACTCCGATTGATTTCATTTTTAACAGGGAATTTCAGATCTTCCTCCTTTAGTAATTGAGGAAAATTAGTTTTCGCTTTAGCTCCACGGAATTCCCTAGCAGCGTTATCATAAGCTTTGGCCGCTTCCTCCGCAGTATCAAAAGTACCAAGCCAAACCCGGCTTTTTTTACCGGGATCTCTTATCTCCGCCGCGTATCTCCCCCATGGCCTCTTCCTTACACCTCTATAATGCACCTCTTTCGAAATTCCATTCAATTTCCCCACCGCCATAGCTGCTGCCGCCGCCGTCACTGCACCAATTTTTTCCCTGGGCGCCATATTCAAAATTTGGTTAGAAATAATAATGTTAGGAGATGAAGAAAATGAGAAGTGGGGAAGAGAGATTATATAGGAAAAGCGAGTCAATAGTGGCTATGGGTATTTTGACTAATGAGAAATAGCCGCCCCCATGGGTTTTGTGGGGCCCTTGATTTTTCTACAAAATGTGGGGCCTAGTCAGTTACGTGACATTTGTGTGTTTGATGGCGGCAGACTGTTTTTTCTTTTTTATTTTTTCTTATACGTGGGAACTACATATACATTTGAATTTGTCATTTTCTTTTAACAAACAAATGTCAAATCAGTATATATTTATTATTTTAATAAAAGGTATACGTTACAAGAGAAAACAACTTTTCTCTATCCATTTGTGAAAAGTAATAATTACTGTATTATACATGCTACTCTTTTTATTTTTGTATTTAAGACATCTACAATAAACAATAACGCATAATCTTAAGGGTAAGTAATTCATTACAATCAATTACTATATTTATTAGTGTTTATAAACTTCATATGATACACTTTTTTTTAAGTTGACCAAATAAATAAAGGAAAAAAAAAGAGAATATATTTTTGAACTATCGTAAATCGTATATAGATGCCCTCCGTCATACTTTTGAGATATTGGTGTTTCTGTAGTCTAAATACTAGAGTGTATACACTATTTATATTAATGGACATACATGTATCATAATTTTATCCATAAATTTGACATTTATTAAATATCGAATCGACGGATAAGATTGCGTCACATATCCCTATTTAGTCTTCTGTTAGAATGAAGGGCATATATACTCTAGTTTTTGGACGGCATGGGCACCAATGTCCCAAAAGTATGACAGAGGGTATTTGCATACCATTTACGATAGTTTGGGATATATTTGTTCTTTTTCCCATAAATAAATAAAACTATATAGAGTTGATTTAATTTAGAGTACTTAACTCAAATTATTAGTTTCGTTTCCGAACTATATTGACAGCTAAATTTAGATACACTCTCAATTCCACATGACATGATAAATGGTCTCAAATTCTTATAGGAGCATATAGCTCTTACTAAAAAGTTGAGAGCAGCATCGAAAGCACCATTAAGCTTGACGAGAATTTAGGGGTCGTTTGGTGTGAAGGATAATACCAAATAGTCCTGAGATTAAATTATAGTACCACTTAATTTATTGTTTGGTTGGCAAGTTCGGGATAACTTATCCCGGGATTAATAATTAGTATCGAGATAAGTTATCCCTCCCTTTAGATGGTATAGTAATTCCAGGATAACTTATCCCGGTATAAAATAAGTAAATGATAAAAATGTTTCTTTTAACCCTTTTGTTACATCACCTTTTACATTTATAAATGATATTTTTGTAAACAAATAAATTATTCTTAAAATTTATTATTTGGAATACAACAAACCAAACACTCAATAAAAAATAATTTCATCATAACTTAAATTCAAACCAAACGACCACTTAGGGATATATTTCACGTATGTTAAAGAGAGAAGATACTAGAAGCACGAGAGATAATGGACAGGTGGCAGATGAGAAACAAATGGGGTAAGTGTGGGGGAAAACGGTGACAAATCCGGGTTGAACCGGGTTTGTCGGCTAAGCTTCAGGTATTCCGCCGCGTGGTATGGATCCCTTTGTTCCCACAATTTTCCTTAATGGTGTTTGGGTCCCACATTGATGGTGGGGTCCACTATGTTTCGACCAATGAGAATTTGACACGACATATTTGGAGAAAATATAAGTAGGCGTGTCTGCGGATTACTAAAGCCGGCAAGTCCGCCCATGGTTCTCTACAAAACCAGCAGGATTCTATTTTATCTTTCTTTATTTACAACACACGCGCTCACTTCAGCGCGTGTTGACACTTTTCTATTTTATTTTTTTATATTTTTGAAGAAAAAAAAACATAGTTCAGATTTGATTTTAAATTATGGATTTTTAAATGAGATTAAATTGAATCTTAGAATATGGTCCTTTTTTTTCATAGTTATTTCCTATTTGACCATGTCAAGATGAGATACACTAACATATTCTTAGTAAGAAAATGTGAAAGTGACGTTGAAAGGCTTAAGGAGAGGTACAAGTAGGATAAAAAGGAGAAGTGATTAGACTGAACAACTTACTGAGGATAAGATTCTTGATAAGAATATATAAATGTCGATGATTTAAGAAGAAAGTAATTAGTTTCGCATATGATCTTTTCGATTTGTATGTGTTGTTAGCTAGTTTCGATATTTTACTATTTTTCGTACTT